AAGATGAGAACTGGCGACTTGGTAGTACAACTTTAGTACGCGGAGTATCTGGGGAGTGGGAAGATGAGAACTGGTGACTTGGTAGTACAACATTAGTACGCGGAGTATCAAGGGAGCTGGAAGATGGGAACTGGCGACTTGGTAGTACAACTTGAGTGCGCGGAGTATCTGGGGAGCTGGAAGATGAGAACTGGCGACTTGGTAGTAGAACTTTAGTACACGGAGCAATCTGTGGAGCTGGAAGATGAGAACTGGCGACTTTGTAGTACAACTTTACTACGCGGAGGTGACTTTCGAGAGGTGAAGAACTTGCAGAAAACAGGTGTTCCTGCGCTTCAGAAAGACATACAGAGAGAGACACATACACACACAGACATAGATACACACACACACAGAGACCCACACACTGCCTCAACACACTCGACTTAACACTTCACACTGAACACTTATAACACACTTAACAGATAACTCGCACTCTGACTTCCTACGTGATGAAAAATGCTTTCGGGCCACTCGTCGTCTAGTCCTTTTGACCAAGGGGTCGGAATCTGGCTGGTGAGATTCTGACAGAGAAGTCACGGTGGTTCAAAAACTGTGCCGAAAGGGTTGGTCAGGGACATAGATTAGACTCTAATAGGCCATCGCTAGTAAGTTGGGGGCCATGTCTATTAGGTTCCTTATGCTATTAGCTTGGAGGCCATTGCTATGCTCCCTGTGTCATCATAGAACACATATTTGCGTATCATATCCAACAAGATTGCATGTGTACCACTCGAAATTCCCCATCATTGTCTATGGAAGGGAGACGTTCTATAAATGAACACCCTGCTCTGCACTCAAAGTGGTACTTTGTGGTGACATGCCACAGTCTTTTGGGAAATATCTCCCCAACTCCGCTTCATTTTTGAGATCTGTGCGTTCACAAATCCATCAGACTTCGCACCAGCTTCTTCCATCACATCATCACTTTCCGTCCGCTCGGACGGCACGGCTCGAGCGCCAGCTTCAACGGCTCGGCTCCGGCGGTGCCAGCGTGGAGTGAAAGCCATGGCGTTGCGGCCCTGCGAGATGTCGAAAGGACCGCGGGGTCGGTCGTGTCCCGTGGGGATCCAAGGTGCCATTCGGGTGAGTTCCCATACGTGTGACAGTATAGCTTGCGATTCTGGGGAACGGTATCAAGCTCGTGGTCTCTTGAATCCATCATGCTTTGCTCTTGGGCTTCTACATGTGGAGTGGATGGAAGCTATCCTGGATGAGTTACATTTACTTCGGTCTAAGAGGCGTGTCACTAGCCGAAGATGGAAGTGGTGACGAAAGCGGATGGCAGATTAATCTATTACAGACCAAGGACGTTGCAAGTCAACAACCATTGCAAACGAAATGAGCTGCGTGAGATTATTGGCGATAGTCGATTGGTGACAATCTCATATTACCCCGTCAGTGATCTTACCTAGTCAGTGGCTAACCTTGAACTTTTTGGGGATTTCACTCGCACAAATGAACAATTGAGAAAGGTTAATGCGTCCGTTTCCATGTAAACCAAAGCACAGTCGCCAAACAAGTACTGCAGTGAGGGGAGGACTGGGTCCAGGGCATGGGTGGGAGTTACCCAGCGCCTTGGTGAGTTGTGAGAGGAACATCCTATCGTGCACGATTTTAGTAGCAATTGCCTCCGCCTCCAAGCTAGGTGTTTTTGAGGTGCTATTTTGGGTCCTTCCTTGGCTTCAATTAAACAACTGAAATAAAGCCCCTCGTTCTTCAGAACATCCAGGATGTCTCATGTTCAGTTGAACTTCCAAGGTTAGTGCGTCTATAGGATCTTTTCTCTTCCTTGGAGCTTGGTGAAGAAAATGCATCACAACACCCCACGAAAAGAACCGACCAATCCAGGGTGCTGGACTCGAGTCCGGCAGTGAACATCCGAATGTGCAATGTGTCTCACTGTTTGGGGTATTGTCCGCTTATCTTGAGAGGCACATATGGTGATTAGAGGGAGTTCTGATGGCCTTCTTCACAAGTCTGCTACATAAATATATTATATGTCAAAATGAGTCCATTCATTGACCATAGGATTTCACTTATCGGTGATACTCCTTCGACCACTCGGCCCCGCCTCGCGCGGCCGTGGGATGGACAGCTTGCCCTGTCGTGTTTTAGGAGACTTGAAGAAGCAGGTCTTGTGTCAGTACTTTCTCTCCAACACATGTACCCGTGGCCATCGTTGCCGTTTCGCTCATGATGACGCCTGGCCATCGTCCTAGACGGCGGCAAGAACTTGTTTTCGGATGCACATTTGATATCAAGAGTTGGTCCCAGAATGCCTTGTTTTCCTTTGAAACAGGAGATATAGGAACCATAGGAGGACCGGGTTTCCACTTTGGTCCATTCAGAGAGCGACAACGACTTGAGACCTGCAGACCCCGAAAGGAAGGATCTTACGTGATGGCCTCCTTCTAATAGTCTCCAACCTACCGGCGATGGCCTCCAACCCCGAAAGGAAGGGGTCTTTTGTGTAAAGCCACAGCCATCTGAGGAAAGCCTCATCATCGGCAACGAACCAGCGAAGCCGCTCATGCCCGGCAAACCACACAATCCATCGTCCACATCGTGGATCAACTTGGCACCAATCATGCTGAGAAATCCACCATGGCAAACTCCAAGCGCATCTCAGCGACGAAAGCAGAGAGATCCGGTTTGGTGTTTTGGTGCGGTTCTGAGGGGTTGCTTCTGAAGTGTGGTTTTGGGGACAGATGTCCGCCAAGTTACACTGTACATGAACGTACCCAAATTGGATCATCCAAATTAAAGCGGAATGCAACTTGAATCCAAAGTGGATGGATTCTTCACTGGTTTCTCTTTGTCCTGCTTTGTGAGGATCGTTGCATAGATTTTTCTTCGCTTATCATTCGGTGTTTGGGTGTTTGTCATTCCTTCTTTGGTGTCCGTGTGAAACGCAGCGATGATGCCTCTTCGAGTCACAAAGAGCTGGTTCTTGCACCGCAAAGAACAGCGCATTTTTCCATGGCTTCCACTCAAAAGGCCACACTATCCTGCTGGTATCCACATACCTCCTAAGAATGGCACCCACCCTCTTCACACCCCTACCTACTAGTAGCAATGGTTTTTGAAGCTACTACCTGCCAGTGTGGGTCGCCACCCTTGGTCACA